CTCAGAAACCTTGTGAAAAACCAATTTGGGGCAAACGTTTTTACAAAACCAGTGGCACTCCAATATGTACATTTTTATATTAAACAATTTAGTCATTCTGTAAATTTACAGTAAGGCCTAAAAAATTATGTTGGCGTAACCCGACCGACCCTAAAAATGCGGCCGACCCTGGATATTTTTTTTTTTTAAGGGAAGAAATATAATTAAAATCTATAGAAATGAATTTTAAATACGTTTTGAAACCATTTCTGACCGTTTCTCCTCAATTGTATGACGATAGCGCGCGTGGAACTTTGGAGTGCACAATGTTTTGCACCTTCCTCTCCATGACACAACGAACATGTAGAAGATCGCGCAGGCCTACAGGCAGTGCGCGTGCGGAGATCGATGCACCATGCATGCATGATAGATGCACACGTACATGGTACATGTATAGCCTCGTCCTAGACTGTTGCACGGCGCGAACTGCTACATATTTATTCCATTTTAACAAAAATGGTTCATTATAATATAAATTATTTTAATTAATTTTCCACTATTTTACACGATAACAATTGATTATATTTATTCTAAAAATGGTAAACTATTCTGTAACCCCGGCGGCCGACGCGACCCGGCCGGCCCCCGGCCCGTGGTTACGCGCGTACGCCGTCGCATCATGGCGCCCGGTACCGAAGCGTACAGTGTTTCCATCAAGGGCAAATAGGGATCTTCGGTCATTTTCGACCGTTTAATACGGATAAATTTGAGTCTAGAGCTGGGGGTAATCGCCCAGAGCTGTGCCGATGGTGTAAAAGCAGGTTACACCGTGCTAAAAATACAAACTTCAAAGGAAGAATCGGGTCCATATTAAAGATGTCGATGCAGATGAAACGGCTAACATTTTGTCTGATTTTGGATTCCGCTTTTTGATATCTAGGCCATTTAAACGCTAAAAGGTGAATATTGCTTGAATGTCCTATCCTATCCTATGCCTATAATTTGAATATAACATACTGAAAACTGAAATACAACAGCCAGAACTTTTCTTAACCCCAACAGTCCTGAATCCTCCAATTTTAATACAATTTTGCACACCCCCTAGGGAGTTAGGGTTAATTCATGGTTTTTATTTTTAATATATCATTTTACAGATACACCAAAAACAGCAAGTTGGCTTCATGCCTCATCTGTCCTGAAGCACACTGCAGGCCTTGGTCTACCATGCCTTCCTTAAATTTTCCTCGATCTGACAGTTTTGTTTTTATTTGCACAAAAACAAGAAACTCTATATAAAAGAAAGACATAAAAAGTGAAATAAATGTCACTCAGAGTTTAAAAGTATACAAATATTGTGTGTAGCCTTGTTTTCTTTTGTTATCGTGTACTACTACCGGCTTAATGTCATTTTCGTTGCTGGGATAAAAAAAATAAAAAAAAAAACGACCTACCTACCGTATTTTTCTGGCCCGTTACGCCAACATAACTTCTTTTTTTTTAAGGCCTAATGTTATTGATGAAGTTGACAATTTTTACAGATTTTAAAAACTTCTTTAAAAAGTCCCCAGTTTAAAACTGTCCTGCAGAAAAGTTCTTGGTAACTGAACTTGTGTAGTTTGGAAAGTGTACACCAAGATCAACTGGTCATAGATATGGGATGTATATCGTGCATGCCACTAAAAAGTGTTTTAAGACAATGGAAAAATGTAGTATCCACTAGACCAGACGCCACTTCAGCAGTTGTGTACAATACTACCACTACCCGGTACTACTACTAATAATAATGAGTATTTATAAAGTGCACCCACTATTATTGATGCTCAAGGCGCTACATCATTATTACCCTGCTCATTTGGGACATTGAAACATTCTAAATACCATCTCAGCTCCCTGGGGAGTATTCAACCAACTTCCGGCAGTACAAAGTACGGGAGAGTTACAAACATTTTCAAAGTATTTCCTAACAAAATTGGAAATGTTTCTCAGTGAATAATGTAAAATTTGGTTCACAATCTCATTTTTGTATATATTCAAAACAAAAGTAAGTCAAAACATGTCATAAATAAGTCATGATGAGAAAAAGTATGTAGACAAGGTATGTCATTTGTTGAGCACACTTTTTTTATAAATATTTTAAAAATAAATTTCCAAACTTGGATCATACTGAGGTTTGTTTAAGCAGCCTAGCATCATGTGCGCAGTAAACCATCATGTGATGGGATTGTCAATCATCGTTGCAAGATACACAGCCCAATTATCGGACACGAACGATCACACTTTAAACTGCTGTATGGATTTTATTGGTAAAACTAATAGAAACAAAAAATCGAAGTAAAATACAAATGCCAAATTATGACATTAAAAACCCACATTCTTGAAAGTTTGAGATAAATTCAGGAACTTATAAATTTCCAACTGAAATCCAGAATTTACAGCTGCAAGAGGTACGAGTTCTGGTGTAAAGAGGAGGTTAACACATCGGTGAAAAGGACTGTACAAGTTTAAATTTGGCGGGTATATGGACGGTAAAATGACATCGTGATTTTCGTATTGCTACATATGCGCCCTCATTAGGCCCCCAAACAAATTTAGGGTCCATCAGTCGGGATTGTTTTTTTTTTTGGGGGGGGTGGTGGTATAGATAAAGTACACATAGTATAGGCCTACTGCCTACCCTTTCTTCTAACTGACGAATAAATGGAAAGAATGGCCACTTGTCAGTTACCGGTTCCCCTCTACCAGCGTACATGCACGCGCCAACTATACTGTGTACACATGTAAACATTGTATGCAGTATCACACCACATGCAATATTGAAACGAAATGCAATATTATGGCATTACAAAGAAACAGTCATGGCAAGGTTAAAGTTTATTTAATTTTTTTTTTAAGGTAAAAAAGAAAGAAAAAAAAGAAAAGGAGATTTCCGGATTTGTAAGTTGGTCGGGTGAGGGCAACACAACTTTTTGGGGGGATTCAGCCATGCAACGCAGTCACCTGAATCTATTTGTCCACACTGGCAGTGGGACACGTACATGCACGTACCAGATACCACATTGTTCATGCAATCAAAAAGAAAATGAAGAACATAAGATACCAAGTTTCTGGTACTTAAATGTACTTTTTTTATTCCGACCAAGACATTTTCTTTTTACTTTTCATTAGTATCCTTTAACTTTGTTTATCTTCAAATTGAAGTTTGAATGGAAAGATTTCCATATAAGAAGTTCACTCAACACCCTGTGTACAAGAGTGGACTGAAAAATTCTAAGTGTTTTCTAAGAAAATGCTTGTATTTTCTCACTGCTCAAATTGACTTTGATGACATGAAATTGCTATCTGGGGGCTTGTTAGTCAATACAGAGGAAAATTAGTGAACTTCTTATAATATGGAAATCTTTCCGTTTGAATAAATACAAGAGAACAAACACAAGCCAGAGTAGACATAGGGCCTATAGTGCAATCTTCTCCTAAACATGTCACATACAACAACAAAATAAATTCCTTTTCTGAAATAATGTCTTTGACGTTTTTAATAATTGTGTACAAAGTACGGAAAACACTTAATATTTTCACACAATCTTCTAAAAGAAAATAAAATAATTTCCAGTGCCAAGTTGGCATATTTTCAACAGCATTAAACTGGCTGACTTTTACTGAAGCTGTGAATTAAGTGATGGGCAGAGCATACTGTTAGAAACATTGAGTCCCTCCGGTTCTTTTCGAACCACACATACTCACAAAAGAGATCTATTCACATGGTACTACCGAAAACTTATCTTGTCTTAGTATCTTTCCACCATGCAAACCTTCAAATCTCGGCATTAGGATTCCTGATAATGCAATCTTTCTGTTACTTTTTTTCCCTACAGAAAACAAGTTTTAAGCATGCTGTTTACCCTCACATCCACCACCACCCTTCAAAAAAAAAAAGAGAGGGGGGGGGGGAGGGAAGGGAGGTTTGTGAAGGGTCTTTTTCATTCTTTTAGTTCTTAGAGAGTGTTTTTATCCCTTCAACATGTCTTTGACACTACAGCAACTTTTAGCAACCGTCTTTGAATTCTAATGTTTCTACCGCTTTTGTAATTTCATTTCAACAATAGCTTGGGCAGAAAATCTACATAGCTCTATCAAATTTCTAGCCCCATAAATGTGGCCAATTTACTGGACTACCTCCGTAAATAAAGGCCACACTTCCACCATGTACAAAAACATGTCGAACTTTGTCAAATTTTGATTTTCACATTTAGGCTTAGTTTGTTGGGTTTTTTTGCTTTAGAAGCATACTCACCCCCTTTATACTAGGCTAATCAGGAAGTGCTGCCTTTTTCAGATGTCTATTTTTTTGTGAAATTTCCAGATTCGTTTGCACCCGTTTGTGTATCAAAATTTCAACATGAAATTCTACAAAAATTAGACATCTGAAAAAGGCAGCACTTTCTGATTAGCTTATAAAGATGGTGAGTCAGTATGCTTCTAAAGCAAAAAAACCTACAAACTAAGCATAAATGTGAAAATCAAAATTTGACAAAGTTCAACATGTTTTTGTACATCGTGGAAGTGTGGCCTTTATTTACGGAGGTAGTCCAGTAAATTGGCCACATTTATGGGGCTATCAAATTTCCAGTTGATATCATGTGAATCAATGCATTTTGTGCATCCACAGTACATCATACAACAAACATTCCACTGTCATATTCATATTAATCCTGCCTATACTTTCCACAACATTGCTGAATTGCTTTTCATCATCAATTCAATTCTGTGAGTCCAATGAAATAAATGTGAATTTTCGTGGAAAAAATGTTGCAACCTGACGCCACTTTTTTCTTCCTATATGATCATCGCAATGAAGGTCAGTCATTGCAAAAATGATAATAAGACAAGACTCTGGGACTGAGAAACATTTCCAATTTTGTAAGGAAACTTACAAAATACTCTCCATAGACTTTGTACACAACCGCTGAAGTGGCGTCAGGTTGCAACATTTTTTCCCAAACGGACAATGACATAAACATTACCTGGGAACATTCTTTGACCGTTGACTGTAGATGCTATCATCACTATGCAGACAAGGAGTGACCAGCAAAACCAAGCCATTTTCGCTCCAGCCGTATGCGTACGTAACCCGATGTCGCCAACAAAACTTTGGGGGAGTTACACAAACTTTGACAAACGTTAAACGCGTGAACCCAAGTACTGTAGGCTTACCGTACCGCACAACTACTGAGCAAGCTACTGAGCGCGAACCGTACAGTGTGCGGTGGTGGCGCGGTGGACTTTGTGAATACTGTTCAATAGAGGAAATGATGAAGTTCACGCAAAATAAAGACAATCAAAGTCACATCTTATGATCTTGCACCTTATGTCACAGAACGTACCAATGTTACAAACGTGGGAGTATGGTTTTAATGACAAAAGTAGCTACAGACAATTTCCGACACCTATCGATACGGACTGGCCAAAGATATTGATGGCCGGCTAGTACACGCAATTAATTAGATCACGCAACCCAGCAGGACGATGTGTACAAATATCCCACATATGCTGCATAGCGCATGCAGGTGAAACTTTTTGGGAAACGCGATCGGCCAAAACTATTCTGGCACTAGAGGGGGTGCTACAATATTAATGGTGTTTTTTTTTTTACCGAACACAAGAGGGTGCTGTTCTTTGTTCACTAACCTTTGTTTACTTCGCCAGAAAATGGGGCTTGTCTGCAGGTCTTGTCCTTTGCTTTGGTTGTCGAGTTAAATATGAGTGTAAGTCAGCAAAATGATATTTTTTGATAACCGAACGACGGGTGAATAGACAGTGAAAGGCTTTTGATAGATGTAGGGGGCCTACATGTAGCTTGAATAACTCCACCTCCGGTCCAATGGGGCTGGCATGGCTGGAGTTATTCTAGCCCCATAAATGTGGCCTATTTACTGGACTGCCTCCGTAAACATAGGCCACACATCCACATGTACAAAAACGTGTCGCACTTTGCCAAATTTTGATTTTCACATTTAGGCTTAGTTTGTAGGTTTTATTTGCTTTAGAGGCATACTCACCCTCTTTATAGGCTAATCAGAAAGTGCTGCCTTTTTCAGATGTATATTTTTCGTGAAATTTCCAGATTCATTTTTACACGTTTGCGTATCAAATTTCAACATGAAATTTCACAAAAATTAGACATCTGAAAAAGGCAGCACTTTCTGAATAGCCGATAAAGAGGGTGAGTATGCTTCTAAAGCAAAAAAATCTTACAAACTAAGCCTAAATGTGAAAATCAAAATTTGGCAAAGTGCGACACGTTTTTGTACATGTGGATGTGTGGCCTATGTTTACGGAGGCAGTCCAGTAAATAGGCCACATTTATGGGGCTAGAGTTATTCAAGCTAGTCTCAGATGTATCGTCCGGTGCCCCAAATTCGCGCTGCCCAATATTCGCGCAACCAACTTTCTCGGCTCGTATCTTTTTAACACAACACGGACAGACGTCAAATCACCGTCGATGATCCATCGTCACACCGCCTTTCTTCTCGATGCAGTTATGCGGAAATCAGAAGCTTTTCCGAGAAATCAAAGAGAGTGATAAATTATTGCCGTACTGACTAGATACAAAACGTAACATTATTGAATGGCCCAGAAAACTAATACAAACATCGCTACGAATTTCCAATCAGTGTCGCTGTACAACCCCGAAACGTGAAAGACATTTTCGGTCGACTTTCACTAAACAACAGAGGGCGTAATCAGAATGAAGGAGCACGAAATACGACGTGCGCCTTATATCGCTTTTTTATTTTAGGATCTGTTTCGCCAAGATGCAGATTTCTGTACCGAGTTGTTTGTTGGAATGAATATGCCTTAAAATATATTTCTGTCGGAATAAGACCTATCGTAATGTTTGAAGTACCCAAAAAGTAGGCCAATACCTATTTTTGTTTTTATTGAAATGATGTGTATCATGCAACCATGTGTCGAGGCGGTGCGATCGGCCACGGTATTGGTCGACCGCGTGCTAGGCGCGCGCGCCTGTATAATTGATTGATTGATCGCAGGTGTAATTAGAATGAGCAATGAATGCCGGAGAACATTGTTACAGAAGGGTGGTTTTGTTATGTTTTTGATGGAGGAGTCATTTCAAATATATTTGTCCATGTTCTTAAAAATATAGCCACGGCATACTAAAGTTATATTGCAAATGTTTCTATTTTGGGAAAATCTGTAGGCCTATACGTTTGTAAAATGTTATGTTATTGGCAGTTGGCACATGGTTGATTTTCAGCAAAACAAAAATTCTCGGAACTCTTTCTATGCATAGGATTTAACTAAGCTCCTTAGACTTGCAACAAAAGTATATCATAATATTTGTGGATTTTATTTACCTCAAATTTTCAATTATGATATGATTTTAAATATTTTGCATGCGATGTGTTTACCAAAATCAAAAGAAATTCATTTATTTCATATTTAAACAAACGTGTATTTAGTAAGAATGTCGGATGGCAAACAACAGTTAGTTTATCAGTCTAGAGACCAAAGTTGTGCACATAAATTTATCCTTTATGCAACAAACATCGATCCACATTGTTTTCAGAAGTATGACACAATGGAGACTCTGTAGAATGACGTTTTCCGTTCGTGCGCGAATTATGGGCACGAAACTTTTGTGGCAGCCAATTTGACTCATCTGCAGATGACGACGTTCTTGCTGCTTCCTTGACGTGTGAATATTTCTCAAATCATTTTTCCATGTAGTTTATTAGTCATTCTATGTAGGGTTTAGTTTATGCAAGAAAAAAATCGGTCAAAGTACTAAGTGCGCGAAAAATGGTCACACGAGGATACTGCTACTGTCTTGACGTTTCTGCAATACCAATGACTGACCGTCATTGAGATAAAATACGATGAAAAAAGTGGCGTCAGGATGCAACGTTCTTTCAAAAATATTTATTTCTCAAGTATTCATCAACGTTTAAAAAGAATTTATAGATTTTGTCTATTTCTGTTTAAAGCCCGGCTTTTTGTTTTCTGTTGAAATGTTCTCACATTCACAATCTTAGACACATGACCTCAGGCACAATGTGTCACATTAATTGAGACAAAACCAATTTTTGTATATGTACATTGTACTGTACAGTCCACATTTATGTAACTAATTTCAAAATAACTATTTTTTTCCTGAATTATTTAACTAGATAAAGAGAAGGCACAGAGCAACCGATGGAGAGAAAGGGTGGTGATAATCGTAAGAGGGACTTCCAGAGTGCTACACAAGAGGATGAGGTATACTCGGGGATGTCTTATTCAACAGATTATTCGTCCTGTTCATTCCAAGTAGTTTGTAAAGATACATTCCAGTTTTTTTCTGTGCTCATGTCTGAACATTTGAAACAAAATCTATGAAACATTAATACTTGTATGAAAATGTTGCAGAAAATTAAGCAGTCATTCCATTAATAGTGGAATATTTTCTGTTTTAATTCCACAGGTATCTGGTGAATTTCCCTCAAAGAAAAGTTGCACTTCCCCAGACACCATGATTGTCAAAGGTGGAGAAGACAAAGCAGCCTTACCACATCTTGATCTAACATCACAGCAAGAGCTTCCTGATTCACAGATGTCACTGGATTTATTCTCCTCACCAACAGATGCCATGTCACAGGAGTTTGAGCCATTTGCACTACCCGAATTGCAGGGATTATCAGGCAGTGATGGGGCACCAGCAACTCATGAGGATACTGAGGAGGCTAGTCAGGAGCCAGCCTTGTTATCACAGATGTCTTACATTGAGGAGGAGGACAGAGGATGCAAGAGAACTGCATCCCTACAGGATAACAAATCCACTGACAATCTATCAGGACGACACTCTCAAACATCAGGCAATGTTAGCAGGACAATCCCAGAAATGACACAATGTGCCAAAGAGGACAATCAAGATGCATCCACCAGCAAAGATGAACTCTCTGAAGAACCCCTGTTAAGACCTAACCCTGGACGTTATGTCATCTTGCCAATCAGATATCCACTCATTTGGGAATTTTACAAGAAAGCACAAGGTTTGTTTGGAAGCATGAAATACTCCAACTAAACATCCTTTGCCTGCTTACATGTAGGCAAGCTCAGTGATTAGGGGCTTGTTGGTTTGGGTCCCATGCAAGCAAGCTTGTGATGTTTTTAAGGAGCTTGCAAACAGCATTGAAGATTTAGTGCTTGTAAGTTTCATTGGTGAAAACATATAAATTCATATACATTTTTCATAAGATGGAATTTTGTTGGGGAGATCTTATAATCACCACAATGCAAAATTCCATGTCATGAACAGTTTGGTTGTGGTACCCGCTGCTATATCAGATTCGAACCAGCCAACCGATCCCGGCAAGCTTGGTGGTCAAGTGGTAAGACGTCTGCACTAGTAAGCAGGAAGTCATAGGTTCATGAATTTTTTTCTCACAATCACTGGGAACAACACTGTGTATACAGTGTTTATAAAAAAATTTGTTGTTGAAGGGCAAAACCTCATTAGTGAATTATTTACATTCCCGACATAAAGTCAATCAGTGGTCATTGAATGCATTGCATTGGTCTTGATGTAGCCAACTGACCTCAGTAAAGTCAGTGGTTGAGTGGTTATGACATCTGTACTAGTAAGCAGAAAGTCGTGGGTTAAGGCCTGGAGGTCTAACTGGAGGAAGCTTATAATAATAATAATAATAATAATAATAATAATATTGGCTATTTATAAAGCGCACGTATCCACCAGGACTGGTGCTCAAGGCGCTACATCATTATTACCCCTGCTCATTGGGCACATGAAACATTCCAAATACCATCTCAGCTCCCTGGGGAGTATACAGCTCGATGCAGCCTGTTAGGCGCAAGGTAGCTAATTCAATCACAATAACCATCTCTGCCCTCACAGGTACCCATTTACTCCTGGGTGGAGAGAAGCAATGAGTGACAAAGTGCCTTGCCCAAGTGCACACGCACCATGACCCCGCCAGGACTCGAACCCACAACCTGCAGCTTTACCCGCAGACCACGAATCAGTGCCCTTAACCACGAGGCCACAGCACTTTATGAAATGCTTGTACAAACTCTCGGACAGCACTGGGTAGCACAGTGCATTGTATAACCCTATAGTGAATAAAATTGCGTTACATCTCTTTATACGTGTATAATGTTCTTTACAGCTTCGTTTTGGACATGTGAAGAAGTGGATCTTGGAAGAGACCTTAAAGATTGGCAAACGTTAAAGGTACAATCAATCAAGTAGTACAACACTCTGGGAATGATTTTCTTGAAACCCTTGGAACAAATGGAAATGTGCACTTTCAGATAACTAGCATCTCCGATTCAAAGACACGTAATCTGTTTCCCACAAACTTGGTTGTTTTGTATATAAAGAGCAAATGTGAACAAAAGCCACATCATATACATGTATTAACTAAGGGGTCAATGAGCCAATCAGGCAGCATGTTTCATGAAAGTGTGAGCTCTGATGGGCCATCAAATGGTACAACAAATAAACGATCTGCTGGTGTTCCATAACATTTATTATCTTAACTTTGAGAACTTTGTAACTTGGAGATTTTTTAATGTGATTTTATGAATTGATTTGATTATAAATCAAGTGTTTGCCACATATCTTGTGTTTGATTGCAGTCATCTGAGCAGTATTTCATCAAGCACATCCTGGCCTTCTTTGCAGCAAGCGATGGTATTGTCAATGAGAACCTAGTGGAGAGGTTTGGTCAAGAGGTTCAGATTCCTGAGGCAAGATGTTTCTATGGCTTCCAAATGGCTATGGAGGTTAGAAGTTGCTGAAGCCTTTAATGTTGGCTTCTGTGAGTTTGCCAATATCTAACACCTGTAACCAGTTGCACAAAACAGTGTGTAACTTACACAGTGCAGAGGATTTACGCAATAAATTAGGTTGCACAGCTCTGCAATATATTTACAATCAATTAACAAACACGGTGTAGGTCCACAACATTTTAAGTAGTTAAAAAATCTAGGGCAAGGATGATCACATCTTTAGATGACTTTTGTGTATAACTGGTATTGGATGCAAAAAGTAATTGATTCAGCTCCCACTGCCATTTCAAAAGTAGTTTTGTGTTACATTCTGCAGAATGGGGCCCAATTATCTTGTATCAAGGTTTATTAGTTGGGCAATGACGGTCTTAGTCTGAGGATCTGATATTCACGTGTGCAGAGCCGTGGCATGAACATCCGATACATCGTAGCATGTCAATGTTATGCGACCCCACACCCCAGCCAATCGGAGTGGTCCTTAGAAACTGTGACGTCCTTTCGAACAGAAAGGTTGACTGAGCTGTGGATTGGTCAATTTGGATGCCATGTTTTTGTAACACAATGGGTTACGGATGACCCAATAGAAGGCGCCCACTGAATGATCATATTCTTGAGGTCAAGCATAATTAATCGCCGAATTTGCTCGCATATCATAGACTTTTGCTGTACAAGAGGATATTCCATAGACTATGACGGGCTCTGCAATGAGGACAAGTAGTTAGGAATTTCTCTTTTCTCTATTTGTATGCTATGCTAAAGAAGCCTCTATTTTAAGGGCCTGTTAGGTTCTTTTCGGAACCACACATACTCACAAAAGAGATTTATTCACATTCTGCTACCGCAAACTTATCTTGTCTTAGGTCTTAGTTCATCTACATATTTGTATGTAGACATTTCTTGTGGAAGGCCTGTGTGCTTGACAGTCTTATAATAACTTTTATTTGGATTGTTCTTTTATAAAACAGAACGTGCACTCTGAGATGTACAGTCTCCTCATAGAAAGCTACATACAGGATCCTGCAGAGAAGACTCGACTTTTTAATGCAATTGAAACGAGTAAGACTAGTTCAGTATTCATTGAAGCATTGAAGGAGAATCACATGGACTAGAGATAAATTCATGATTGTCCAACAAATAATGTCCTTATCATAGTGTGACCTACAAACATAGTATGGTTGTTGACTGATTTGGCTATGTTCCCAAACAAAGCAGGGAATGAGTCTCACTAACTGTCAATGTTTCTCATATCAGTGTATATGAGCCTATGAATGTGCACTGTTTTCTAAACTAGTGGTGTATTTTAGCATTAGTACCACGAATTTAAAAAAAGAGTATAAATAATTTAAAATGGATATAATTCACATGTAATTATGGGTTGATATTTGGTTGAGGGTTTTGCTGCCATAATGGGTAGGTTTTGTAACATAATGTGAAGATCAGTTGAAGGAAAAAAAACAAAATTATCTACTTAAGGATTGTCTGGATTCTCTAAGCTTGAAATCGCGCAAAACAAACCTTTCAAAAAGGGTGTAGCCTTACCAACTTGCTAGACTCTTTTGTAAACATGCTGAATGGCAGTTTTGACCTTGCATGTCCTTTGTGTTTGGAAGAAGTGTTGGGAGTGAGTCTCCTATTAGTCTAACGTCCTCAGGAATGTAGTCAACATATTCCATATGGCCTTGTCTCAGATTGCTTGCTTGATCAGGACATAGAATTGTTTGTCTTAGATGGGATTGGATTGATAAAGTCTTATTTATTAAAGCACATAATCATGTCCATTTTACTTTGCTAGTGCCATGCATCAAGAAGAAAGCTGACTGGGCCATTCGATGGATTCATGCCAAGGAAGCTACATTTGGAGAGAGACTCGTTGCATTCGCTGCAGTGGAAGGCATCTTCTTCTCGGGATCATTTGCAGCTATATTTTGGCTGAGGAAGAGGTAATTTCCAATGTTGGATTCTACAAACCAAATAGGAAATGGTTGTAGTACACCCATCCATGCCATTGTCCCTCAGTGCTGTGGTTTTGGAGCCATTCTTGGTGGTGTATTTTAATACTTGACAGATTAACAGAGTTCAAATGTTGCAGTAGGAAGCATTTTATGTTTTGAGACTTGTTTTAAAATCCTTTTGGACAATCAAAATTCTTGAGAGACTGGTCAACATTCTTGTGACACTGCAGGGGTTTGATGCCTGGCCTGACATTCTCTAATGAGCTGATCAGCCGTGATGAGGGTCTACACTGTGACTTTGCCTGCCATCTCTTCACTTACATTGTGCACAAGCCTAGCCCTACTCGCATCCAGGAGATCATCTTAGAGGCAGTAGAGACTGAGAAGCAGTTCTTTCAAGAGGCCTTGCCAGTCAGGTTGATTGGAATGAATGCTGAGCTCATGTTACAGTACATTGAGTTTGTGGCTGACAGATTGCTGATGGAGCTGCATTGCCACAAGGTATAATGTTCACATACTACGTGCTGCAGACTGGAAAACCCTTCACATGCTGACCAAAGAAACCCAGAACTATTATTATTATCATTATAGAGTTTAATGGTTTACAGCATAGAACTTTAAATATTACATTGAACAACTTCTTTACCAAAATTTCTGATGGTATGAAAATCCCAAAATGCTATTCCGAGAAATGTGATTTTTTTAGTCTGAAACAGCATAAACAACCAAAGTGATGTCAACATTATATTTGCCCCAAAAAGAAATTTGGAAAATAACTTTTTGTGTGTATTTCTGCTCTGTACTGGAAAATGATATCAATGACATGCAACATGTTTTCTTGGACCACAATTCACATGATCTTTAATGCCTTCTCTTTTGAAGCTACTTTGAGTCCTCTATGGGCTTCAAGATGGAAATGTTATGTGCTGAGGATGCTTTGTGCAGTGGTGTTGTTCAGTGCATCACAAATCCAGTAACAAGTAGCTTGATGAACAATAACAAAGGAATGTCTTTGTCGCAGTTCATTTGAAAAACTTGTGAGATGACTTGGGACTGGATGATTTGTGACCAGGGACTGGATGATTTGAGGACTTGTGATGAACCTGACCATAGCACTGGTTTATTCGCATCATAGTCAATGCCACTCTCAATGGAAATTTCTTGAAAAACAAAAAAAAATATTAAAAATCCTTTTAATAGCATTATTCATGCATGCCTCAAGAAGAGAAAACAAATATATGCACCCTGTTACACCTTGTTCCAAATGATAAGCCAGTGAAGTATTTCAAAGGATGTTAAAAGAGGTGTTACATTTGGTGCCGTTAACAATGTGTGGCATTGTTATAAGATTCACTTCAACTTGTGTCTTTGCATCTCTACAAACTTAGGCAACTAACCTTTTCCAGTCAAATATCTGTAATAAAAAATCAATCCTGTTGTTAAGTATAGATCATTTTCTATTCCTATCACAGGTGTACAAGACGTGTAACCCCTTTGACTTCATGGAATCTATCTCCCTGGAAGGCAAGTCCAATTTCTTTGAGAAGCGAGTGGCCGAGTACCAGCGAGCAAATGTAATGGCTGCAGACGATGACAGACACGTCTTTACACTGAATGCTGATTTTTAGGTGATCTAGATTAGGTGTTTGTAAGCATTTGTATTCTGGAACCAAATTTGTTTTTAATTATTTTCTGAGGTGGGATTTGAACCAGCAACCTCCCTACAGCCATCCCAGTGTTTTACAGTTGGTGCCATTAAACTCAGTGTTAAACCTTTTGTAATTGATCGCTGTCCTGGGATTCTGACATGGAGGTCCCATTCCCCTCATTAAGAACTGAGTTTAGCGTACTATTCAGCTTCCAACTAAAGCTTCCAACCAACTCAGGAAAGAAACACAACTCCCATCTTTTAAAAACATTATTGGTGGGTTTAAACAAATTGTGTTGAAATAAAAAAAAACCTTGGGGATAATAAGGTACTTCACAAGATTTCTTTGGGTATTTTGTATGATAACCTGATGATTCTCGTGAGCTCCAGAAAATTTGAATTTGTATTCAATTTGGTAATTTGTTTTGTCATTATTTCCTTTAAAATGGGTCACAGGGTTATTTGTCAACTTGTACATAAAAAAAACATGTATGCAGAGACAGAAATTACCAAGAGGCTGGAGCAGAATTACTTGATTTGTCACTATCTGTTATGGAATTCATGACTTCAATTTTCAGGGTTCTCTCAAAATCTTAAAATGAAATTCCATGACATTTCCAAGACTTCTCCAGAACAAAATGAGAGCATTTCATGACCAATTCCTAGGCTGTATTGGCATCTTAGAGCCATTTACAATACACTGGCCAGTCATAACACTGAAAATAAAGGTCTATGCAATGTGCATTACCATCAAGATGATGGCCTCCACCTCCCCCTCACAGCAGTGAGCGTCAGTTTGATGGATTTGGTGCTATCAAAGATTATTACGTATTAGTATCCAATCCTCCCACTTTTTCATGGCCTGCACCTCCCCTCACAGTGTCAGTACCCCAAAGCTTTGAATGGTACAAAGCTCTGAACTTCAATACAACTATAGAAACTGCATAGTGTATATGCACTAAATGATAGCCAGGTATCCGGTTCGTTGGTGTGACGTCATCTCAATTCAACCATGCGTACTTCACACGGCGTAGCATAGCACGAATGGAACTGGAAGTTAACACAACTTGAGTGTTTATCCAATGGGTGCAAGCAATCAGTGGTGCCCGCGTATGACGTTTTGACTAACGAACCAGAAACTGCAGATGGTCATGCATGGGTTGTGCAGGATTTTTTCATGACTTTGCAACCCTGTATTTCACATTTTATGTGCACGGATTTAAAATAAAAAAGCTTTAAGTGAAATGTGACATTTTTTGTTAAGACCTAAGATTGTAACATTTTAGAGCTGGCTACCTCAAGAGATAAGAGCGGTTTTTACAGTACTTGTAAAATATCCATTGTAATTTGGTACTATTTCGGTTTTGTTAAAATGTGTTAAAGTTCAATATGTGTAATGTATAAATTAAGTGTTGGCTCTAAGAACGCTGATGAAGTATTAGAGGCATTACATTTATGAGATATTAATATTTATCTTGATATTATTATAAGATGGAATTTTTGCGCCGGGGTGATATAAATCAAATTAGGTTTTGCCCTTCACCGACGTTTTTAAACACTGTATACTCAGTGTGTTACCTCCCAAGTGAAAGTTGGAAAAACTTTCACACCCGAGTGATTTTTTTCCAACTTTCACTCGGGAGGTAACTCACCGAGTATACAGTGTTTAAAAACGTCGATGAAGGGCAAAACCTAATTTGATTTATCTTGATATTGTATTTTAGAGAAAGAAATTTGGAGTATATGTACTATATTCTTTTTAATTTTTTTATTCTAATATCCCTCATTATACTAATGTCATACTGATAGCAAGACTTAGACACAAGGTCTTGGTAGGGAATTATCTTCAAGAGTTTTCAATGGCCAGGCCCTTTCACAATCACGAGTTACATGAGAATAATTCTGGTGTATTCTGTTTCTACTGTGAATTTCAGCTCAGTAGCTGAGGCAATTTGTAATGTCTGCAAACAAGGTAATGGCATTAGTTCTTTTATTACCGGTAAAAGTGCATATTTACAGCCGAGGCAGATGAACGCTGAGGACTTGATGGAGATTTCGCTTTATGTTTCAGCTGCCAAGTAGGCTGCTCTGTTGCTGTGCTTACTGATTGTAGTTTCTGTGAAGTTGAGAGTGGTTCCATTAGTACATAAATTCAGCTTATCAGTTGAAAATTATTAGGTATCAGCACCATGAAATTAAGCCCAGAGATGTAGAATATTTTGATTCTGCTAGTAACTATATTTTCACGACATCTCAAAAAAGTTTAAGTTTTTTGTAACACTTCAAATGTTAACTTATTCATTTTCAAAATTATAAATTGTATTGATGTTACAAGTCCTTGTTTGTGTTTTAGCTGTTTATGTTTCTCATATTGTAAAACTTGTACAGTGGATAGTATCGTCACCTACAAATAAGAACAAAATAAGTGAGGAATGCCAGTAAGAAAAACGGTGTTTGGTATTTTCCCTTCAGTGTGTTGTAACAAACTGAAGTTGTTGATTGCTGATGAACACAATGACAGAGTTTGAAATGCAGGCATATAATTATGTTCTTCCATGCAAATTTTTTGTCTGGCGCCTTAAAAAAAAAAAAAAAATGAAAGCAACAGTACTAGTCCATGGGCCTGGATCCCAGATCCCAGAAATTCACTTTCCGGTCCAATCCTAGATGGCAAAATCTAGTCGCTATTTTTTTAACTGCTATACACCTCTAGTTTATATTTTGACATGATAGCCTTTGCAGCGTGGTAGCTCATTATTGGTCATCACCTCCAGCAGGCAGCAATAGTCTTCTGCTGCAGGCTGGTAAAGTCAGTTACATTAATGTGCATGCATGGACCATCTCACGTGACTGAATTTTCTTTCTTAAATTGAGTGCAAGTCCTATTTTGATCGATGAAATAAATTTCTCACCCCACCCCACCCCCCAATTCGTGGCCATGGAGGATTTTGTTTAAGGAACATTAAGTCTTAGAATCATTCCATTACCAACCGAGGCATGCACATTATGTTAATGGGCTTTACTTGGGTGCTGAAAACATAATTGTCTGCAGGCAAAAGTTTCCTTGCAAAACATTCACTGGCGTCTGTCCCGTTTTACAACTTCAACATCCCAAGTGATTAAACAATAGTAAACAACCACAGTAGTGTCACTCACAAGCACACACAAATTTAATGACATTTTCAAGAGCATCCTAGCACTTTTCATTGATTTAGAATAACATACAGTGTATTTGTATTCATAAATACAATCTGTAAAATAAATTATAGTACTTATCATGTCATACACTTTGTACACATGCACGAGTCTGTGATAACAAGGACCTGACCCCTGACCTCAAACATTTACAGCTATCCTTGCCTAAGTATCACCGCTCTACTTGTCTTGGTTCCAGCTGTCCTTAGCAGTGCAGTGTGACTGCAGCAATTGAGAGAGCGCCCTTATCACACACGCCAGCCCCAACAGTCTATACGTGCAGTTCGTCGATGAGGTCAGGTTCGTGAATGGGAACTGCACGGTACGTGGTACAAAGATACTGTCTGTCGTGAACTACCACGCTAAAAACATCAGGCACCAAGACTACATTCTACCTTGCAAGATGATTCACCAGTGATTAAAAACATTCGTTTTTCTACACATTTTAGAATGACTCCCATTCTCCAAACAGTAGCTCCCAAAAAAATGAAAACGGGAACTTTGATACGTTTGAAATATTACTGATATGATGGATACCACGCAATGCCCCGACTGTCATGGCCATGCAATTTGCTCCAATCTGTTTTTAATTCAATAACAACTTGTGAGGATCAAATGTACTCTACGAATGATTCAAACATTTTCAAATGTGCAAAGTCAAAATACAAAGGCCATTCTTAAATGAGTATTACATATTGTGTAGAAAAGTTACCTCCGTGCATAAACTAAAGACAAGTATTTTAAGGAGTATTTTCCAGCCATAATTATTATAATTATTAAGTTACATAAAGACAATGTAAAAAAGAGAGAAAGAGAAAAGCAATTATGTATAATGCACATACAGAACAAAAAATAGCAATAAAATGCATTTGATGCAGTAACACAATGTATGTCAGAAAAATATACAAGAAATTTCAATGATAGTATTTCCAAAAGATTTCTATAAGAATATAAAAAATTCTCAACATGAATGGAGTCTTTGCAAAGAAGATACATGTACTTGAATACTAGATAGTTAAATGTTAATTAAGCACTATAAATTGACGGCTAAGGAAATGAGGATGAATACTCCTACTGGTTTGTCTTTTGGAAGTCATTATGTATCCGCAGAATAAATGTCTCTTGAAGCATTTGATGCCGTCCAACCACATGCAATGAGTGCAAGGACTCCATATAACTATACGTTCAGATTGTTATTTCAGACTTGTTCAATTCGTGCACATGAGAATTCAGATGTCTGAAATAGTTTGGAGTGAGAATATTGATCTGGGTCTATGTTTGAAGAAATATGGAGTAATTTTATTGTCCGTGCAGTACATCATGTGCCGAGACCAATGTACGGAACTTATAAATGTCCATTGTACAATTGCAACTGGGAAGTAACAAAAACGGAAGTTATAAGAGGAAATTAAAAGACTGTACACATTATTTTTCAATTTTTAATGGCATAAGTGTGAAGTGAAAGTAGAGGTGAAATCAGCTTATTTGATGAAAAGCTGCACGCCTGTGACCTGTGGACATCTTAACACATCAATTATGTGTATGGTTTAAACAAGTCAACATTTAAGAGAATTGGGCTATACATATACGACTGCATACTGCACATAACCTTACACTAAATGCACACTGGACAGGCCCATAGGCAGCCTGATGGAGGGGGTGGGGGGGGGGGGCATTTTGTTCCCTTGGCTACGGGGCTGCTAGAAGATGTAGCGTTCCTTGAGCATTGTAATTGTAAATGCATATGTGAAGAACAGTCCCTGTGCAAATTGATGTACAAACATGCTACTAGATGTCCTAATCTTATTGGATGCTAGAAGGTCAATCTTATCCTGCAGTAAGTCTGTCCTAATGGACCACCACTCTCATTGAGACTTGGGCTAATGCTTGACTGTTTTTCGTGGTGTGACATACAAGTTGATGCCATGTTGTGACCTGAGTACAAGGGCATTCCTGCGCTGGATTGGTACGGACTCATTGACAGACAAGTAGAAGTTACGAAGGATCATGCTTGCAATCACCTTCATTTCACTCATTGCAAAGTGCTGGCCGATACAATTCCTGAGGGTAGGAAGCAGATGGCAAATCGATTATTCAAACCAGACTTTATGAAATGTCCATAAGCAAATCTAATGCGGGATTGACATGGTCACTTCTACTATCACAAGTTCAAACACATGACACAAGTACTCCCCTCATCGACACTGAACTAGGTATAGAGTCCATGTCTGGGACAACTATAGAGTCAGACTGCACTGTAACATGCATGCTGTATGCAAACACTGACTGCATCCAAACTGATCAAATGAAGAAGCATGGGTGCAATGCACAGTGGTGTAGTCGAGTTCCCCCTCTCTGAGCCCTACAACTATACTGATACATAGCAATTATGTCTGAGAAGTTGGGCAGAATGGGTCCAAGTATTTAGGCTTTTGGTTATTGGTAAAAATATTCAGACAAAGTGGTGTGCTAAAAATGCCCACATATTTGGAAAAACCCTTTGCAATAAAAATTTGATTTTTTTTAAAAGTCAGTCTATGTCAAAATTGTAAATAGTGAATTGAATGCTTATTTTACATGTACCAGCTGAATTCTTACCTTGGACCCGCTGAGAATGGCACGAATGCATATGGAGGAATAGACTTGGCCCTCTCAGGGGAAAACCGATCAGGATCAAAAGTCTCGGGGTCATCCCATACCTCTTTATTGTGATGCAAGCCATTGATGGTAATAGCAACAGATGTGCCTGTTATTAAACCAACATTAAGAAAAAAAAACATGAAAAAAAGTAAAACTGCTGCAAACTGCTTACTGACTGGATGGCCTGAAATATATAAATCTTAAAATTAATGTGGCCTGACGTTGCGAACTTAGCAAGTTTTTCTTCAGAGGTTCTGAAGAAGAACTTGCTAAGTTCGCAACGTCAGGCCACATTAATTGTAAGATTCAACATTAAGAAAGTTAGTCTTTTTGCCCTTTGGCTAGAACTGAAATATCCCAAAAGCCACAGCTTGCCAGCATCTCCCTGCTCCAACCTTAAAATTATTACTTAACGTGAAAAATTGAAAAAGCTTTCAAATCCAATCATACAAATATACAGCTTTCTGAAAAGTTACCATTTGATGCGTGGTGTTATATGAAATTTAAATATTAGGATAAAAAGTCACAGAATTGCCTTATTACAAAAGATATTTAAGAAAGCAGAATGGAACACTGAAAAAAATTGTGTCACTAAAGGATATCTATGAACACTAACTTGTCATACATGATAGACTTGGCCAAAATCTGGGTTTCCCTTGGTCGTGCAGTAAATGCCTACATACACTTGCACTGTACTGTCAAGATGAGCTGAGTATATAATGCCCACCCTTGCGTGTCAGTTCCAGGCCATCATGTTATAAATGTTCATGCACATGTTTAATATTTGCATGTGAGTTCAGCAACTCAGACTTGGTCATTCTGCTAGACATCCATACACAGTCTATGAGCTAATCTACTATTATACGGTACACCTACTTTTGAATGTTTTCAAACTGCTGTGCGTATACGCAACGCATGGCGCAAATAATGGAATCAGCTTACGTTAATAATATCTTAAACCCCCTTTGGTTAGTATATTATTTATCTTAAATCACAATTTCAATTGGACACAAGTTTTATTAAAATTGTTACCCCTAAAAAAATGTTTGTTTCAAATAAGTACAACTTTTATGTGTTCCACTCTTCCATCACAACTGAGGTAGTCATTTTGGCACCTGGTTTTTACATGCAAAATGCAAGGGTCATTGTGTTTTTGTTTAAAGGCAGAGGTAAAGGTTCAATGTCTATAGAAATAACAGACAGAACTTAGATAACCATAATTCAGGTTTTTTAAAATCATTTCTATGAAGTTGCTTTCAGACATGTAACGTCCGTAACACTATAGTGTAACCTTCATAACAAAAATAAATGTTTCGACATCAAAGTAGCTTTTTGTGAAATACCATTGGTGTTTTTATGGAGTGAAGCTATACCTACCACAACATAGTAATTTCATTAAATTCTCGCAAGAAACTTCCCAAACTCCTATCAATGTGTATTGAAAATCGATCAAAATCTATGTCAGAATACGTACGGTCATTTACAGTGCTTATATCTCATGAATTAATTCAGCTAACATACACTGTACATTAACCATGTCATGCCATGTACCACATATGCAATTTACTTACACTGCAAGTATTGTATTTTGTTGTTTCAAATTGCTCAGTAGTCCGTGAATGTAATGTCTATGTAATGATGGAATTGCCCTGTTGCAACATATTATGAATAGTAATGATGTTGAATATGCATTGATAAACAAATATGCTGGGGGGGGGGGTTCCAGTGACAGATCGACCAAGTCAGACTTTGTAACTTTCGATGTTACATGCATGCACATGTTCTGTAAGTTCACAGAAACTACAAAGTAACACCAGCTACACACCTTTGGGTACACTTCTACCATCAGGGAAGGCCAGAGGTTGGGTCAAAGTTCGCATGATATTGACGACAGGAGCATGAAAGCGCAGATTCTCCTTCAAACACTGGGTCATGTAGGGTAGATTGTTGAGATCCTCCCTGCAAATGATAACCAAATAACAAGTGCATTTGTCAAAACATGAGTAATTAACCAACAATATATTACAGGAAAAACTCACATCCCTTTTATAGATATTGAAAAAACGGTACTAATTTTGTCTTTTGCAAATGGGCAACAAAAACTCAACACTTTTTACTTTTTTAAAGGATATACACAATTGAACTGGATTGTTATCATTTGTGAAGTTTCTGAATACATTTCTCTTTGAGTGGTATAATAGAGGAGCAATTATTCACAGGATGACATCTAAAGTAAATTGACTACAAACTTCAAAAGTTGCTACATATAATAAAATTAATGCATGCAATGGAATTTCAAATTGGCACTGAAGGCAACACCCACGTGCCATCTTTTGTCGACAGGATTAAAAGAAATCTGCTCAATGCATACAATGATTAGCACTGAGAGACTTGGTTTCAGTGCTCATTTAGGATTTGTCTATTTGTCTATTGATTTGAACTGGGACCTTGGTGTCATAATGCTCCATCAGGATACAGACAATAAACAAGCAATAGTCTGGTAATAAAGCAAATTGAAACAGCATTGTCAGTGAAAACCGACCATTCCAGCGTATCCTCTGTCCTATCTGCCAGAAGGTTATCTATCTCCTGCCTACACTTCTGCTGAAATTCAGGAAACCTTGCCATGTTGTATAGGAACCAGGATATGCCCGATGCTGTTGTGTCATGCCCCTCAAACATGAATGTGTCCACTTCATCGCAAATCTCTTGGTCCGTCAATCCCTTGCCATCTGTGTCCTATATAAGATGGGAAAATTTCAGGGCAATACCTAGTTCCCATTGAAATTAAAAGGGGTGTAATTGTATCATTTAATTAAAAAAACACCGGATGGCCCTCATGTCACACCCTTATTCAGTGTTATGACAAGTCATTGAATTTGAAACTTGAGTGGAGATACGTCATTTTAAAGCAGTGACTCTAGTCACGTTGAGTAGTATTCTCGCAGTGATTTGAGACAAGTTAGTTAGCAAATTTACAAAACCATGGAGTCCTTGAAGAAAGTACTGAAGGGCAGTCCGTTGCTCAGGACGAAAATCTTCAATCTGTAACTTATCGGCTGCAGTATTTAGACTTCCATTCACTTCTGGCTGAACGAGAGCCCGGGAAACCTTCATTTTGTTCAGTACAATACATGATGTACGTACATATACACCTACATTGCTTGCAACGCGTATTCAGGTCAAAGTTTACGGGCTTTGATGAGATATCGTGTTAAATATGCGCATAAGAATTTCTGGGCCGAATTGGGCCGAAAATGTAAAGAAACATATAAGGAATTCGCTACGGTTGCATCAAGGCTGTCTTTCGCCTGGACTGGGGAATGGTTACTGTATGTACTGTTTATACGGATATGTGTGTGGGACGTATGTGCAGGCAAGCAGGGGGATCGTTGAGGCTAGTATGCGCGGCGCTGTGTGTCATGGCAATTGGCAAGTGCAGTACAACAGGTAAAGGACAAATTTAAGCTATACTGTAGCGGTCGCTCGTTCAGGGTAGGCTAGGCTTCCATTGAAAATATGTAAGAAAACTGCATTTTCTACCAAAAGATACTGTTCAAAATTGAAATAAAAATGAGCTGGATCACACCCAGATCAGAACCCAATACCGCTCACTGTTACACTTGCCATCAATCCCCCTTAGATCCTCCAGCCTAGCCAGATTAGATCCCCTTGCAGGATCCAGTGTAAACACCATCTAACCGATTAGTGCTGATAAGCATCTTAATCTTTTGAAAAGGACAACGCCAGTGGCCCAAAAGGTCACTTTCTTAGATTGCTCTTAAGAGGAGTGTGCCTGTCTTGCTAACCATTTTAGTACATTCTATGATGCTAGAAAATGTGCTCATCACAACAGAAGTAGCAATGTGAAAATATCTGTAACAAGAGGTGGACTAAAATGGCTCCCTGCCAAAAAATGGACATGTAAAAACTATCTGCATCTCAGAATAAATTTTGAGGAAATTCTGCTTCCCTACTCATCCAGAATCTTACCTTAGCACACAGAAGGATATCTAAGAAGTCCACATACTTCCTCTGTCTTGTTTTACCACTGGCTTCTTCCTCAGCTAGAGCTTGCTTACGCTGCTTGATGATATCACGTGCATAATTATGAACAGTCTCAATGGCTCGATGGTAGTGCCGGCCACTAGGACTCAAGTTGTATATGATATCGGAGTGGAAAGGAAGAAAGCGGAAACGCGCTCCAACCAACATGGCAATTTCATAGATGCCTTTGATGTACGGGTGATCCTCAACACTGAAATAGGGATAAATGTGTGTGAATGAAAATTCTCACATAGGAAATGAACAGCGTCCAATAAGAATTTTGGAGAAGAGGAAGACATGTATATTATGAACATCATGGAAACCACACAAATGTTGCATCATGGTCCCTTGGTGAAACAAGCAGGTAATGACCTAACAAAGAGGTAACGTATTCTTATGTTTACCTTCTGGTATAAATAGGAATGGGAGAGTAAAGACATTTAGAAACTTTTCAATAAATACTCTTTCCTGTTTAAACAAGCAAACTGTCCCATCAGATATGTTTGTAATTGATGGCCTGACAATAGCTCAAACATGTGCCTTTTTTTACAATTTTTGGTTTTCAAGCAACACATGTATATAATTGATGACTTCATTCCTGTTGGTATTCCATGGGAGTGGAATAAGTCCCAACTCACTAGAATCAGGAACCTAACGAGGGCATATATGTGTATGTGAATGTAGTAATCTGTAACCAATGGAAACCAGTTTTAAACTTTTTGGGCATTTGCTGGGTAAAGAAATGTAATAAATAATTATATAAATACATATCTCAATAAAGAACCAAAGAAGTAGCATACACGATTTACATGCTGAAGCACAAAGAGCACGGTGATTTTGGTTCTTGTAAGTTCACAGACCTTTGGACGAAAAGCATACAGTCACATTTTATACATATATTTGTAATTAATGTGTAAGTGAAATGTGTGTAACAGGTCATCAAATAATGGTCTTACATTTGGCAGTTGCTCTGGACACTGAAGATGCATTTGAGCAGACTATCCAGCATCAGGAGGCTGACATGACTGAACATTTCCATAGATTGCTTCCCTTCTCTTTCACAAGCACCTTGCCACTTTTTCTGTGCATAAACCAGGGACAGAAAAAAAGGGTTGTATTTTACTAACTATCTACAGGTGTATGGATTTCATATTCCTAAATACCTGAGACAGTTTATCTATTCCTATTGGTTGAGAGCCTAACATATGGGTGGTTAGCCTATCGGCCTCAAATACGATCATGCTGTTCGTGCTGCCCAGGATCGGGCTGGATGGCTGAGACGAATTGCAAGCATTAGATAAAACAATTAGTCACAACGTCTGGAGTCGAGTATGACGCCAGTAGCGTCAACTAGTAGTAGTTTTAAGACAGTTCAGTATTTCAATTGCGCATGTGCACAATGATATGGGTCACGAGTCATTCAGGATAATCAAACGCTCATCGAAGGCGCATGAACATGCACAGACCCAGGTGTATGACGTACATTTGCGTAACATCGCGTATCCTTACTTCAGCAATTAGGCCTACGTGTTACTGGGTATGGTAACACTCACTCAAGGCATTGTCTGGAAATTGGGCTAATGTTAGTTGGAATTGGCGTGGTAACTAGTATGCCTAGAAACTTCACCACACTATCAAGCCTGCATTTACGCAATATCAAGTGTGGACGCTTGAGAACATGCTTCAATACATTTGATATCCCAATCAATATGTCGGAAACAAGCCAGATGCACGTGCTGTGCATTCACAGTACATGTACTTAGCTGCATTTCTTCTGCACTGCATAAACAGTATGGCTTGCTCAGGAGAGGATCATCTTTAAAATGATTAGTAATTATATTGTTGAAATAAATAAGTGATTTGTGGTAATGTTTGTAGTGGCCTGAGTCACAAAAGTTCGAGTCCAAGTCTGAATCGATCCGCAGGGTCAAGTCTGAGTCCGAGTCATTTGTTATCGTGACTCGAGTTTGAGCTCGAGGCCTGGAAAAATGGAACTCAAGTCGGACTCGAGTCTGAGTCACGAGTAATGCAAGTCTGCCACCAAGTGTCTCAAAAGTCTCCCATTAGACTTGCATACTCCACGCCAGTTTGCTCATGCAATGTGTCCCGCACACAGAGTGGGACATCAAACACGAGAGGTCATCAAGCCTCATCTTCTGTTCATGCATAGAGTCCATAAAGCTAAAAGAATTTTGATTTTTTTTTTACAGCTTCAGCACAGATTTTCCATGAAATATAGGGTATAGTTATAAATGATGTACTTACAACAAGGATACTTGCAGACTCTTGAAAGATGCCAACATATGGCTTGAGGATGTCAAAATGAAAGCCAGGAGTCAGCAATCGTCTGTTCCGTGCCCACTTCTTCCCACTAGACAGCAGCAGCCCATCACCGATCCACGGCCTCACAAAACGATACGTGTTCTCTGACTTGGGCTCTAGATATATACAAATACCACACAGTGAGGATTAGGCCAACACCTGTTGTGTTCATTGAGATAAATCAATTCCAAAGGAGCATTCTTGAGGAGTCAGTTTGCAGGACTAAAGAAGTTGCAGGACAAAATCTGCCAATAATCTGATTGCATTTCCTTCTGATAACAGAGCCTTCCCATATTTCATTGAGACTGTTAATAGTAAGCACAGCAAAAGGCACACTTACCTCAAGACGAACATTTGCTCTAACTTGTGACATACATTTGTAATGTAACAAACAAAATGCCCATGTACATCTATGCACATCGACGCCATGAAATGGTGCTTAAGATGCTTACTATAGCAGTTTCTGCTACAATTGTACGTGTATATTGTGCACAACTTCTCTGATAACTGTTCCAGCGCGGTTCTTGATCCAATCCAATATTTTAGGGGGCTAGACCTTTCCCACTTGACGTCACCTTTCTTAAGATTTATTTTTTTAGCTGTTTCGGCAAAATAAACAGCCTTTGTTTTCGTTAAAGGGTTTTTTTTGGGGGGGGGGATTTCTTTTTTCCGAAACAGCCTTTGTATTTATTAAGATTTCCTTTCCCTTTTTTCCTTTTTTTAGCCATTTCCCATAGCATTTTTACACTTTTTATCGTGCATGGCACTTTGGGCACAAAAATCAATCCGATTGCCTTTATACTTGGCACACAATTAGACTAGCACATGCATGTATGCCAATCATTGATGTCATCATGACATCATCACGTGTCACGTGACTTATCACAATAAACATGTATATTTTGAAGGTCTAAATCTCCAGAACGACAGGTCGGATTGGGTTGAAAATTGGTATGTACCTAGTCCGGTATGTCTTATAGGTAAAAAAATAGAGGTAATGCTATGATGACCTCATCATGTGATTTTATATGAATTACTCAATTTTTGGACCTTTAAGTCATATCTCATGAACGGAATGTGGTAAAATCAAAATTCTTTTTGTACTACCTTTGTAAAGCCTCAGTCACACATTTACGGTTTAGAGCTACGGATCTCCACGGTTTGAAATTCGTGATAAACCGTGGGAGTACCGTATTCATCCTTAGTACATCCGTGGTTATCCATCATCTTCCTCGGGTATTCGTGGAGGGGCTACAGAAGTTTTAAACTGTTCAAAACATCATGATAATCAATCTGTGGTGCAACCGAGGGACATCCATCGGACAACCGTACTGATTCATAGTGTTTATCGTGGCTATTTGTACGGTCGGTACATATTCTTGGACATTCGAAGCTCACTCGTGGTAGAAATCTCTACGAATTTGCTGCGAATGTCCTAAAAATGAGCGTGTGTTTCAGTGAAATTTGCATGAAATTCGTGCCCTAATAGGGATATGCCCGGATGTACTAGGGTTCTGCTGTGGTTGTACCACGAATATCCACGCTCTGTTCGTAGGAGAACCTTGGTCATCCGTGGCCCAATCACAGACAACCGTTGTGTTAACATCATTATTCTTAGTAAAAGTCTTCTCAAAAATCATTCCATATTTTTGACAAACCATGGTGTATTCGTAGAGAAACCTTAGGACAGTCATGGCTATCCGTCCTGCATTCTTAGAAAGTCAATTTCTCCACGAATCTCGACGGTTCATCGCGATCAATTGATTCTTGGTAAACCGTGGATATTCGTAGCTCCAAACCGTAAATTTGTGACTGGGGCTTTAGGTAATAGATATACCGATACAGTTGCCTTGATAATTTTTTTTTATTATTTTAAGAACTTACTATGTTAGTTTTCATTATTGTCAATGATTTGACTTTTAAACCTTTATTAGCCTTGAACAAGCTGGAAAAAAGTAGTGGATATGATACAATTTTGTGACTTTTGTTTGTTCTTAAAGTGTTATCCTCCAATCCAATGACAAAGATCTACTTGGATGTTATATAAAACAAATAATGAATCTTCTTGCATTTGCTGAAAGATGGAATGTTCCATTCAAGTCGGCTTCGCCTCGTTGAATGGAATTAACATTCAATCTTTCAACTCATGAAAATATTCTCACCATTACACTCATAAACATTCATTATTTGTATACCATTGTGAAACATTAGTACAACAGTATAAATTATGCAGTGAAATAGCTTAAAGTAACATTACCTGAAGTTTTGAGAATTGTCTTGACAGTGTCTGGGTGAAACACTGTGACAAATGGCAAGAAAGGCCCCACCCAAATGATGGAGACATAAACACCTGCATCCACACACTTTCTGACCCATGCGTATGCTTTCTCATCCGATGTCATCTGAAAGGAAAAGGTTGAAATTGTAAATCAATAAACACATTTACTTCCATGAAAACAGAATGATCAAGTAAAGTACACATATATGCACATGTACATTGTATGTATCGGCTCGGGTCATTATCGGCAACCAGGCCCCGTCTTTTAAAACTGCTCTCCCAAACTATTATTCCCATTCATCTTTTTGGTTAGAAATGTGCAAACTTTTCAAAATTAATCCACAATTTAGAAACATTGACAACATTTTGAGGATGTTTTGTTCACGAATCCATGTTCTGGGGCCAACTAGAATGGAGTGTGAGATTGCATTAAACAACAACCCAAGATGACACCCTCAAAGAAGCAACTTTAGAGGAGTTTTAAATATCAAAGTAACCTTTTTTCTTACCATTGTTTTCAGGCATACTTTTACCAAGAAACAAGGATGAAAATAAGACAAAATTAACCAAATCGTTTGACGCTTTCGTGATATGCTAAGCTACCTGGCAGAGTGCATAGCCATATGATTTTGTGAGCAACTTTGTTAAACTTTAACATGAAAACGGTATCGTAAAAATGATAAATTTTCATGCTCATGTACGTACCCAGGGCCTACTTATACCGACGTACAAGGCAACTAACATTTGTCAATACGTCTTGATGTGTTGTTTTGGAGGAAGGTCCAATACGAATATCACTAAGCCGCGATTGTCCCCCACAGGACCAGCCATAACTGTTTCAGATACTTGATACTTGATACTTCTGCAGAAGATGTTAAATACATATCTTCTCTCTGAACGTCCATCCTTCCAGCAGGATACAGATGGAAGCTGGACTGAGGTAACCAGTTACTGGGTAAATGCTGATTATAGACTCGGTGGGAGAGGCCCTTCCGGCAGCTGGTGGAAGTATGGCCAAAGGGGATGTCAAGCTCTAGAAGGTGGAGGCCTTATTATTCTCTGTGAATTTCCAAAAGCTACTTGGTTGCTAGCATCGTGCTGTGTTGCCCAGCAACTTGACATCCATCAGGTAGAGTGGGAGTGGGGAGGGCACTGCAGCGGAAGCTGCAAGACAGTCAGCTCGCTCAATGACGATGACTCCAGCATGAAGGTCCAGAATACATGGGTGAGTGGGTGGTGTTCTCGAAAGGTCAGCCAGTTCAAGGGCAGGTAGCCAGAACTGACTCTGCTCAGTACGGCCATGGAATCAGTAGCGATAATGACAGTCTTCGGACACAATGGACCGATCCAGTAAGCACCGCCCCATGGTGTTCTGACCAATCACAGCCGTGATTTATGTCCGACGTGCGTGCACTAAAGTCCGACGTGCGTGCACTAAAGTCTGACATGCGTGCACGCGCGTATGATGCGCGCGGAAGGAAAATGCAGCGTGGCATTGGAGAGGAGCACCTGTTAATTTGCCCACGTGCGCACTGGGCGGAGCTTACTGGATCGGTCCTTTCCAATTGTGTGAGCCGTAGCATGGCCTGTTGGATGGCTTCAAACTTCATTCATGTGCTGCTTTTGTAGATGGTATGGCAGCCAGAGCCCTCAGCAACTGTTGAGCCATTGAAACGAACTATAAAGTATCTCCATCCAGCATGATTGCTGTCCGGTCAAAGGATCCATCTGTGGCTACAACCACAGCTTCATTGCCACCCAGCTCCCGTAAGGTTGCAGCATGGGGCTTGTGCAGCCCCCTCAGGCCAGTCTCTGCACTTCCTGTTGAACTTGACAATAACCTGTGGTTTCTCACCATGCTCTTCCTGTGACACCCAGGCTGGTGATTGGGTAATGAAGTGCTGACCTACGAAGTCATGGTGGCCGCACCAGCTGCAGTGACCCATGAGTTCCCGATTAGACGTTGGCAGGATTCTGCTCTGGGGCCCATGGTCTGAGTTCACGGCGCAAAGTGGCTTGCACAGTGGTATTGACGAATTCCTTCTTGACTATGCCATCAAGGGCATGCTTGCTGTCCTGAAGAACCTTGGACACAATGGTCACTTGCTCTAGAGTCTGATGTCCAGCAATGCTTGGGACACCCACCAGATGGCGCAACGCTGAAATAGGGTTGATCTGCTGCAACCAGTGATGATTCGAAGGGCAATGTTCTGTAGTCTCTCTAACCTAGTCATCTGGTTCTGACTGATGTGGACTATTGGAAAGGCAGTCAATGACTGATTGGACGAGGCTTTTGTAGAGCACAACCAGATGTCATTCTTCAGCTTTTCTACCAGATGCAGCTCTCCCCTTGTTGCATTTCATTGGCTCAAAATCTTGCTGACAAGCTCAGTGAAGCTGGCGGTCGAAAATACTCTGAGATTTCAGGATATCATCTCGTAATGGTCCGAAGTCTGCACTCTGCACGGTTCAATCTGGAAAGGGGTAGGGTATAGATGCTGAAGAGGACTGGTAACAATGGGATCCCTGCGGAAGGCCTGTATTGATTTCAACCCAGTCAGACCGCCAGGTGCGGTACTTCATCATGCAGCGTCTCTTGCTCAGGGCAGCCATAACCCAACGTACAAAAGTGGCGAACATTCCAAGGTGCACCATTCCATCAGATTGGGCGTTAGACCAAGTTGTATGCGTCCTCAAGATCCAATGCAACCAGCAGTGTGTTTTGAAAGCTTTTGAAGCCCTCCCAGATATCTGCTGCCACTGAAACAGAATTGGTCCGGGTTTCCCAGCCAGGACGATAGGCGCCCATCCTGTTGGGAAGCCAGTGATCGATTTACTTGGTTATCTGTTGTGCAATGATCTCCTCTGGATTCTTGCCGCTGATGTTCTGCATTACAACGATGCGGTATCCTTTGAGTGTATGGTTCTTACCAGGTTTGGGTACAGGTCCAAGGAAGGCGTCCGTCCAGACCGGTGGACATGGTGGAATGACGCCAGTCCTCCAGCTCTTTCAGTACAATGTCCCAACCTACTGGGCAATGATCCAGTCATGGTAGTGACTTAAGGTAGAATGCCTAGATTTTGTCAGGACCAGGTGCGCCACCCTTGCTCAAGTTGATGGCTTTCTGTACCTCCTTTGTGGTGAATGGTGCATGAGGTGCCCCCTCCATGCAGAGCTCCCAGTTGCTTTAGCAGAACTGTTTCAGGTAATGGTCTAGTGCCTCACATTTGGCAACATGAACATTTTATAATTTGGCCTGATTATGTCTTGCAGTCTCTCTGCACAAAGTCTGGTGTCAATCACAAATGCCCCTGTAGGTTAACTGGTGAAAATGCAAAAAAAATAGCTTGTTCACTGATGTGCTGCTACGTGAGATACCAGCACTGATGCTGAGTCGTGTCCGTACCTTGTGTAAATGACCCAAGAGCCAATGTTTGTCTGGAGCGACAGGGAAGGCCTTCAACTGCTTCTCCATTTGCCATTTATGTAGGAGTAACCCGACAACAGCTACAACTGTTGAGGTGACAGCCAATGTGACTGCTGTGATGCCGAACATCACCAGGCTAGAGGTACTGAAGACTACCATTTCAACAAGTTGTTGAATGCCAAATGAAGAATATCTGCGTCAAGAAAATCATTTAGTATACGTCATTTGTTAATGCAAACAATTGTTCATGTTTATTACTAAACCTTGAAGAGTAACCTGGGAACAGCATCAAAGTAGTAAAAGGTGCTATTTTTAGCAATTAAGTGCATGGTATAGCAAAAAATACATTAAAATAAAGTCGAGTATTGAGAGATGAATTATTTCCCCTAGAGCTGGAATCTGTGTGCTTTGTTTTTCCCCCTTATCTTTTTTCATTTAAGAGAACACTTGTGTCAAAAAAACATGTCTGTGGTTGTGGGCCCATTACTCCATCCTACAATAGCACTTAACTTGTCACATCGCCGTATTATGCCCCTTCCCAACATGCCCAATAAACATGCAGGTGAGGTCATGCTCCATCCGTTCCCTCCTGCTGCATTTCATCCGGGGTGCAGGTCAACTCGGTCCCAAACCAAATCGGTCCAAGTCAACTCGATCCCAAGCCAACTCAGTCCCAAGTCAACTTGGTCCCAGTCAACTCGGTCCCAGATCAACAAAGGGCGGATAATTTTAAGGTCTTTTCTCTTGTATTGTTCAATATCCCCTAACGTGGCACACTTTGATTTTTGGCCTCTAGTGCAATATCTAGAGCAAAAAAAATTCTCAATTTGACAGTATGTGAAATTTCAGTAAGCTCTAAATATACCCGTTCATAAATCTTGAGTTTACCTACATGTACCCGTTACAAAGTTAATACATATCTTTTGACATGATTTTCCAATTTTATTTTTAGATGCACAATGAACACTTTTTATATGCGCCCAAAAATAAGTAAATAATTTTTTGACAAACTTGCAGTGGAGATAATAGAATTTGTCAACTTTATAAAGAAAATCTTAAATGTTGACTTGGGATTTTCCCAGATTTGTTCAAGTGCGCCACATTTGGGAACACTAACAGCTTTTTTGAGAAGAGGGTGCCAGCAAACTCCTTGCCCTCCATCGTGCAGGAGCCCTCTGCCCCTCTCTACTTTAGGTTACGTCCGTCTTGCTAATCTTGCCCCAGATTCTTCAATCAACTGAAGATTTACAAGCCTGGCATCCCGCTCCTCCCCATAGTGTCGTCTAGAGGGTCACCCACCTACGAGGCAGCCCAATTCCTGACCAGGTTCCTCTGCCTTCTGGTGGGACTCACACCTTGTGACAACTCCACCTCTAGCCTGTTTGTGGACATCACCAGAAGCCTCACCATCCACCTGACAGACTTCACGGTCAGCTTTGACATTGTTTCCTTGTTCACCAACGACCCCACTGATGAAGCCTGCCATCTGGTGAAAGAGAGACTAGATGACCGCAGCACCCTGTCTCCTGTCCAAATCCATGACCTGCTTTACACGTATTTCTTTCAGCTACTTTTAATTTCAAGGCAAGTTCTTCGAACAGAGTGACAGCACGGGATCCCCTATATCCTAGAAAACATCTTCATAGAAGAGTTTGAGTCTTCATATCCCTCCTCACCGCAGACATTCGGCCCAGCCTCTGGCTATCCTACGTTGATGACACCTTCCTTGTCTGACCCAACGGACAGGACACCCTCACTGAGTCCCTCCACTATGTCAACGGACAACATCCCACCATCAAGTTCAGCATGGAACAAGAAAGCCGGCCAGCTCTCCTTCCTTGATGGCAACCCCTCAAGGAACACAAACGGCTCCCTTCACCACCGTGTCTACTGTTAACCTACTCACACTGACCGCTACCTTCACCAACGATCTTTCCATCACCCCTGCATATAATCATCAATAAAAACCACACCCTATAGTATGTTGGGCATATGAGATATGAGACCAAGACAACATCCAACAAGAACTCCAGCAAATCAAGACTCTTCATCTCAAGTGCAGGGTTTCCTTTACCCAAAGTCAAACCCCACAACCCTCAGTATGTCTTCCCAACTTAGGCCCTGCCTCCCATTAGCCTTTAGTCAAGGCGTGTGTGTCTAGCCGGACGCATGGCAACCAAGATTCTGGCATGAAAAAAGACCAGTACGAGTGGCGAAGCCACAAGCGCCTTTACCATCTCGTGGAGCTTATCATTTATTCATTTTTTCAAGTACATGTAATATGAACCATACATGTATGCGGATATATATGTACCAATCATCACGAACAAGCCATTTTTTGAGGTGATGCCATGCTCTCGCGCATACCCTCGATCGTGCAGTGAACGTGTTCTTAAAAACAAGACGCACACGCATTCACAACATGTAATGCATTATGCATAACAATTTCTCTACCAAAGCGGTAGATAAATGTAAAGAACAACATAAGCGTTTTCCACAAGATGGTCTTTTTTTGTGCCATCATCCGGGGCGCCACATGTCCGGGTATAGCCATGCGGGCCTTGACTAAAGGCTAGCCTCCCATCAGCTCCAGCACATCTTGTGAAGCCCACATCAAAGTTTTTCACTCTGCCCCCAACAAGCTTCAAGGCATTCTCCACACACACAAAGACAAGCCTGATTCCAGCAACTGCCCAAGAGTCTACGTATCCCCTGTGAGTGCGGTTAAGGGGAGACTGGCAAAAACCTCCCTACCAGACTGAAGGAGCACTGGGCGCACGGACTGCAAAGAGAATATGATAAGTCAGCCATCGTCAACCATGCCCATGCCACAGACCACCTCAACAACTGGAAGGCAGCAAAAATCATTGCACCTGTCAAGAATTGGCAACCATGACGAATGAGAGAGGCCATCAAGATCCATTATAAGCACCACACCCAG